AGGACAGGGTATTCTCTTACGTAGTGACAGCTCACTACAGCTATCTGCTTATAGTGACTCCGACTGGGCATCTTGTCTTCTTACTCGTCGCTCTGTGAGCGGCTACTTTATCCTTCTAGGTGGCTCGCCAGTTTCTTGGAAAACAAAGAAACAAACCACCGTGTCCCATTCATCAGCAGAAGCTGAATATCGTGCCATGGCTAATGCATGTGCAGAGGTACGATGGATCCGCGGTCTTCTTGGGGAACTCGGCATTACTCCACCGACAACGCCACGTTTGTTTTGTGATAACAAGTCCGCTTTGTTTATTGCTGCCAATCCTGTTTTTCATGAACGCATGAAACATATTGATATTGATTGCCACATTGTCCGTGAATGCGTTCAGCGCGGTGAGATCGCCACCGCATATGTTCCTACTCGTCTACAAATTGCTGATTTGTTCACTAAGGCATATATGTAATTAGTTTCCATGTAATTAGTTGGGCATTCGTGATCTCCATGCTCCAACTTGAGGGGGAGTGTTAGCATATATATTTATTTACTACCATATATGTAATTAGTTTCCTTTGTAATTAGTTTCCTTGTTAGTAGTGTAATTAGTTTCCTTGTTAGTAGTCTTTTCCATACTTGGAGTAGGACTTGGCACATGTATATATACGTTGTGAATATTGAATGAAACGCAGTTCAGTTTTTCCAAAATTCTACAAGTGTTCCTATTTTGACTTTGTGTAAAAATAAGGAAGTGATAAATTGTAGTTGACTTCCAATTTTGCCCTTGATGTGATGGGTAAAAGTAAGATGTGATGGATTGAGTATTAGAGAAAAAGTATGATGTAATAGGTAGGGTATGAAAAAGTAAGGGTAAAAGTGGTTTTTTTAATAGAAAGTGGAATTGTTTTGTTGGAAGTAAAAAAAATGAAAGAGGAAGAGTTTTTGAAAACGGAGGGAGTATAATTTAATAGGGATAAAAACGAAATTCTACTCAGCAAATATCATTGAATAGTGCCACCGTGGCCAACAAGGGAAGACTGGAAGAGGGTGGGAAGATGGCTCCAGTCGGGTGGTGAGTGGCTTGTTTCGTTTGTACAAATTTATTTAATACTACCTCCGTTTCTCAAAAGAGTTCCTCTTTTGACTTTGAGGGAAAATAAGGAAGTGTTAAATTGTAGTTGACTTTCCAATTTTGCCCTTGATGTGATGGGTAAAAGTAAGATGTGATAGTTTAGTTGTTAGTGAAAAAGTATGATGTGATAGGTAGGGTATGAAAAAGTAGGGGTAAAAGTGGTTTTTTAATAGAAATGGGAAGTGTTTTAAGAAAAACAAAAAAAATGAAAGAGGAAGGGTTTTAAGAAACGGAGGGAGTATATATTGGGTGGTACAAGTTTGTGGCATGTTCCCCCAAAAGCCTGCGATACCTGTAGGCCATCCATCCATTTTATATATTGTCACTTAGAAAAATGTCTCTAATCTTAAAACTTCTTCCAGTTTTGTTGTTTGATGAAACAGTAACATTCTTACATCATAAATATTAAAAGAAATTTTTTGAAATTATAATATAAATTCAACATAAATAAGTTCATCTTAAGTTTTATATAGTTTTGATATATCAAATTTTTAACACGCTTATTTATTTAGATTATATTTAATTTATTGTCAAATTTATCAATATTTAACTAAAAAATTCATACCATGAAGAACTTTTAGGACGGGATAAGTGTGATATATATTGATTTATAAAAGAATATCTTGAAATATATTGTGTGCGCGAGCTAAGTCATAGTTAGCTTGAATTCCATATACGGCGGCTGGGGATAGACTATACATCGCCATGTGAATCTTTATTTTGATAATCCCTTATGGGCCCTAACATGCTTCCTGCAATTTCATATGATCTGATCTTTAATGATCCAGTTCCCATTAGCTAGCTAGCACACTACAATTTTATACATAGATATTCATGCGTCTATATATATACATAGCGAGCTAAGCAAAGATAAAACCACTATATTATATTCCATCATATATTACGTACGAAATACATTTACTGATTCAACGTAATTGAAATGGGGATGATGAAGAGACTAGTTGGGATTTCCGAAGCAAAGAAGAAGCTGGCAAGGACTCTCTCTCCCAGGAAAGTCAACCTAAGGGCGGCGACCAGGGAAGATGAAGTCGTCTCCGTCCCAAAAGGGCACTTTCCGGTATACGTCGGGGAGGCGAGGCGGCGGTTCGTCGTTCCGATAGAGTACTTGGGGCATGGACTGTTCCGGGATCTGTTGGACTGGACGGGGCAAGAGTTTGGGTACGAGCACCCCACCGGAGGACTCACTATCCCATGCAGTGAGGACTACTTCTTGAGCCTCACAAACCTCCTCCTCATCAGCTCCAAATGAATATCATGCATGCCATGCATGCATGGACACTACATAGATGCCACGACGACGTACGTAGCTTAGCCTGTTTGTACGTATAGTAGTAGGAATTCATTAATTAATTAATCAAAATATCTTTTTATTCTTGAAGAACTTTATTTTTTGCCATGCATTGCAAGGCGCGTGGCTAAGAATCATATTGTAAGACTCAAAATATTGTTGATTGTTTTTTGGGAATATTAATTGAGATTTTTCTTAATGAGTTTTGTTTTATTTAATCCAAGAATATTTATGCGCGTTGAAGATAAAAACTTTATGAAAAAATGTTATTAACTAAAAAAAATTACAAGTGTCTGTGTATATTCAACAAGGATCTTTTAACTCTTGAACCTCGGGTTATATTAATATATTATGACTCTAGAATTTTATGGTCTCCATTTCTAAAATCGATGATTTTTACCCTCAAACTATACCCTTCTAAAAGGATAATGTTTAGGGGGTTTAAATAGATATGAACCATCAAATTTCGTCCCCTAGCCCCCCATCAAGTATACAACAGAAACAGTGCAAAGTTTTAGGTCAAGTCCACCAATGTTTTCCATTTCTAAAAATTAAAGTAACATGGATAATATTTACAACAAAAAATTAATAGTGAAATTTGCACTAAATAGGACTAAAACATAATGACTTTCCTAATGTAAGATTTAAACCTTTTTATTTCCTAAGTAGGACTTAATAATGACCTTATGAGAGGAATAATGTCCAGTAATGATGATTATTTACTTGAATAATGACTACTTGATAATGACCAAAAGTCCTACATTGAGAAATAAAAACATATGGTCCTATATTGGAAAAGTATTATGTTTTAGTCCTATTTAGGTAAATTATTCAATTAATATGCATGGCCCAATATTTGATGGGCTTTTAATAGTTAGGCCTGACTTTATCAGGCTAAGTATATCATCCCATGGAAGAAACTAGCACCGGCCCAACAAAACAAAACAAGATATTATGTGTTTCATAGTCTTTTTTATTTTACTTTTCTTAATACTCATTCCGTTCCTGAAAATATTTATTCTTTCTTTTTTCATCTATCCCAAAAAAATTTATTATTTCTATTAAAAAGTCACTTTTATCCCTTAATTTTTCATATCTACAGATCACATTATACCTTTTTACTAATAATCTACCCATCAAATCCAATTTCTACCTATCACATCAAAAGACTTTTTTGGAAATTCAATACCAAAATACACTTCTTTTAAATCTCTTAAAAATCAACAATTCCCAAGTTTTTAGGACCAGAGGGAGTATTTGAATAATATCGAATGGCGGAAACAATATCCAGTAGCGATGGATATTTATTTTGAACGATATTCAGTAGCGGTGAACATTTATTTCAGCAATGTTCTGTGAAAATTGAACAGTGGTATTACATTGAGAAATCAAAACATATAGCGCTGCATTAAAACTCACTATATTTTAGAAATATATCGGGAAATTCTCCTTTTCAATGTAATAAAAAACTTTTTTCTATCTTAAAAATAAAAACATATATTTTTTAAAAGGTTTTTGGAAGAACAATCCGACATTCAGACCAAATTGTTATTGCATTAATATATTGAGTGATGATTCCGTGCACCCAAGGTCTATGTCGAGTTTTTGGATCTTCTCACATTAATGGTTAGACTTATAAGCTAATGTGGAAAAAAACTTGGTTCACCCAAGTTAATTCTAATCCTAACCATAACCATAATCCTACAATCATAATCATAATGCAAATTCTAATCTTCATACTAATACTAGAAAGTCTACACCATACATCAACAAGGTCTATATGTTTAGGATGGACTTAAAGACCATAGAAGTATTTGCCAATTGTTTTCTTTTAAATATTGATTTACATTCTACACGGGTCTGGGATGGGCTTCATGCCCAACACCTCGATAGAATCAGCCCACTGTTTTATTATCGATTGAGGCGGCCCATGTATCCTACCCGGAGTATAACCCATTTAAGAGAAATCCGCTAACGTGTGAGTTGGTCTCAGGGCCCTGCGGCCCAAATGCAAATAGCTCCCAAAATAGTGGACCATAACCACCATGTACATGTAACCCCTTTCGTCCAAATTAAAAAAACGAAAAGCGACTGAAATATATATCTTGGTTCCCATGACATTGATTCGACATTGGTTCACTCAAGTTGATTTTGATTCGACTGAGAACCAATGTCATGGAATGACCCGGAGATGCTCCGGTATCCTATTCGTAAAATTGACGGTTCCTACCCCCTAATCATCCGGTAAAATCCCCACCCCACCCGATCCGAACACGCCCACCACCCCTTTCAATTGCACCCCAAGTTGATTTTGACTTTGGAGTCAAAATTTAACTTCAGGTCAAAATTAACTTGGGGGTGCAATTGAAGGGGGTGGGGGCGGGGCGTGTTTAGGTCGGGGCGGGGTGGGGGGTTTACCGGAGGGTTAGGGGGAGTAGGAACTGTCAATTATACGAACGGGACACCGGAGCACCCCCGGGTCATCCTATGACATTGGTTCCCAATGTCATGAGAACCGTCCTCCTGAAATATACTTGAAGTATAAAATAAAAAAATATTCTTATCTCCAAAATAGAATATATAATATCAATAATTCAAACATTAAATAAATACCAAAAAAATTAATGAAGTACCCATATAAAGTATTGCATTGTGACTGTGCAATACTCATATAAAGTATCGCATTTATGCTACAAAACAAGTAATGAGAAAAATATTTTATTTTATCAAACACTCAATGAAAATACAGAACTAAATAAAATTTTTTATGATTTTTGAATAATAAAAAGTGTTATTTATTGTGGGTGGTAAGGAGTGTATTCTAACAAAAAAAAATCAAACTAACCAAACTTAATATTCACCGCCCATTCCCTTCCACGATGAGCTAATCTCCATCATATGTTACACACTCCGTATGATTGAAGGAAATTGTTAAAAATGGAGGGCACGGGCCGGATTATTAGTGCAAAACTATGGGCTCTTTCATAAACTCATTATTTGTATAATTAATAATTTAGGAATATTAAATACTCTCTATTCTATTTCTACTCATAATAAATGAGAAATGGAGGGGATTTTAAACATTATAATCCCTCCGTCCCATATCTTTCTACACGTTGTGCAAAACGAAGAAAAACTCTAAATTTTTTAAAATATATTTTGTTTAAATATTGATGCAAAAATTAAAAATAAAACTTACATATTTAAAATCTACAACAATAATGCACTACGAAGAAAAACGATATGAGTCGAACAAGAGATGTGGTAGAAGTATTTTATAAGATACGCTAAAAATAAAACAGGAATAAATTTTAAGGACGGATGAAGTAAAATATTAAAAAGACGTAGAATGTAGGCCAGAGGAAACCTATACGAAGTAAACTTTAGAAGAAAAAGTACTCCTTCCATCCCAAAAACCCAAAGAATACTTATACTTCAATTAAGATCTCCCTTTTACCCCAACACACGTGAATTGGAAGATACATGACTAAGGGGCTGTTTGTTTCAGCCTCTTAATGGTTCAGATGTCTGAATGATTCAGACTGTTTGTTTCAGCCTTTTAATGGTTCAGATGTCTGAATGGTTAAGAGATTTGCCTCTGAATGGTTAAGTATTATACAGAGTCTGAATGGTTAAGAGCTGTTATCTGAATTGATCAGACATTTGCCTCTGAATAGTTAAGCAATATACTAGCTCTTAATGGTTCAGACCTCTTACTGGTTCAGCACTTAATGATTCAGACCTCTTACTGGTTCAGCACTTACCCATTCAGAAGTTGCCAAACAGCCCCTAAGCTGAATTGAAGTAACGAATTGAGAGACAAAATGAGTGGAGAAATACATTTCACTTTGGCCTGGGAAAAACATTTTCGAATATCGTTAGCATTTTAAATAAAATTTTAATGGTATATGTTAATTATGAAAATGCTAATGCTAAAGACTATCGTTATATAACCTTTTCAAAATATTAATCTCTAACGCTGATGCCAAACGTGTCTTTTGTATTGATCAGTTGAGACTATAAATATATGTACTTCTCATTAGATAATTGTTTAGATCAAATATTAAGTGACCCTATGATGGAATTCTTTAATACCCCGTCCCTAAATAAATTACAAATTGCGGGTTACGAAGTAAAACTTTCTACTTTTTGAAATCATTTTATTTACAAATTGGTATATCAATAAGATATAAAAATTACATATTAAAAAACTACGTCAAAAGTTCTACAAAATAAGAGGTGACAAAAATATTTTATTTCATCAAATACTTAATGAAATCGCGTAAACAAACAAAAGTTATTGAGAAATGAAAAAAAATTGTAATCTATTTAGGGAAAGGGAGAGTATATTGGAGTAAATAGTGTAGGCCGGTCCAAGGATGGATCGAGCTGCCCTACCGCCCAGATCCATTTTTTTAGTGGGGGGGAGGGCAATATTTTTAACATATATATCTTGTTAATAGAAAAAATGATATTGATATATCAAAATTATATCTTAAGGTAAATTCAATTATATTAAGTTTATTTATAATTAAATTTATTTTTCTCATAATTTGTGTAAAAAAGTTTTCCTGTTTGACCAAAAATAGTCAAAAAATAAAATAAAATAGAATAGATCAGAGTAATTGGTGAGTAATAATGGGAGTAGACGACGGTATAGTAGTTGTTCAAAACCAGGTGCTATACAGTGGCAGTATATAGTTCACTAATTTTTAAATCCATATATGTTCCTTAAAACAGTTTCTCTTTCAGTTTTTTCATTTTCTCAAAAACACTTCAATTTTTGTAAAAAATGGCTAATATATATCTTAAATAAGTTTTTACAATATACTTCATTCAATTTGCATTCATATAATAAGTCATTTAAATGATTTGTCTCTCTTTTTTTCTTCGATAATAAGGGTATAATTAGAACGTCAAACTATAAAATTAAATCTCTCCCAGATCAAAACAAGAACTGTTTTAAGGAACGGAGAAAGTATTATTTACATGCCACAATATTAATAAGTTAAAGTTGATGCATTCACACAAGTTGGGAACTTTTAATTAATTAGCATCTTTATATTAATTAATTAATGCACACAATCTGCGTCCACTGTCGTGCTCGTTAGGGTGAAACGTGGTCCAATTGACCCCAAAACCATTTCTTCAGAGTAATTTATGTAAATAGTACTAAAACATAATGATTTTTTTTAAATAGTACTACATGTATTTTTGTTCTCAATGTAGCACTTTTAGTCATTATCCATTAGTCATTATTCAAGTAAATCTCTACCATCACTGGTCATTATGAACATTATTAAGTGTTATTTAGGGAATAAAACAACTTAAGTGCTATTTAGAAAAATGACTTAGTTTTAGTGCTATTTAGTGCAAATATATCTTTATCTTTATTATATACACATATTTATATTAAGCACTCTACTGCATATTATTACTCCATATATATTAATTGTCATTATTTATTGAAATCGATATAGATTATTACTATCCATCACGTTATAAACATCATGGTCTAAATGAGTTAGTTAAATCTTTTGCCTCTAGAGGTACTCGAAGAAGTGTATTCTATTTGTACACCAAATTAAAGATTCACGGACATACACAAACAATCAATGTTTGTACATGCACAGACGCACAGTGTCCGTGTGTGCCTGTGATTCTGTGAATCTTTTGGTGTTCAAATGGGGTACACCACTTGGAGTATCCATAGAATTCTTCATTGGAAGAAGATAATGCTAGGGGTATCTGAAGTAGTAGTGTACCTCATTTTACACCGAAACACCCGTAAACAAACACAGATACTTAATGTTTGCATATGTATAGATACTTTGAATCGAACTGACCCAAACCAGTTATAACATATATTGAAAAGATATCCGAACCGATTGGCTCGATTGCCACGAGGAAGTATATAAAGTGGCAGTCAAGCAAGGAAGCAAGCGCGCTAAGCTCCAATAATCAAGCAAACTGTCTGGCAAGTAGCATGGAATTAAATTATCACCCCCCCATAACGACTCATCATATAATTAATATCATATACTACTCCCGTATTTTATAAATTAATACGAGAAAATTAATTTTGTTTTTTTGAAATAATTGACCAGCAAGTTCCAAATTCCGGAGCCCGCAAGTTGCTACAAAAAATGCTATATAGAACGTGGACAAAGGAAAGCGTTAACCTATGTCGTACGAAAAAATAATACTAAATAGGATTAAAACATAAATTATTTTTTAATGTAGAATTTAAACTTTTTATTTTTTAAATAGGATTTAATAATGTCTAGTGGAAAAAATAATGTCCAGTAATTGTGGATATTTACTTGAATAATGAATAATGGCCAATGATTTTCCTATATTGGAAAATAAAAATATATGGTCATATATTGAAAAAGTTATTATGTTTTAGTCCTATTTAGATAAATTACGCATGCCATCGGCAACTTGGATGATTTTCTTTTTTGGAGCTAAAACAAAGTAATTAACCATTGCAAATAATACCCAGTACAAAGGGTGAGGATACAGGACCATGTCCCGACACTTAATGCAAACTATATGGTGCAACTCGATGTAACGTACACCATGACAAATTAATTTGTAAGTAAAAAATATTTCAGAATGAATGCTTCTTTTTTTAGAATGAACAGTATATTGTTTTAGAATCAACACAATACGCTGAGCAGGCTTGGAATGAACACTACGTTGCTTCAGAATGAATACTATATTGATTCAAAATGAACATTTGCAATTTAACTCTAAATACATCCAGACGTACAATATAGGCTCTCGATAAGAAGGAAACTGAGTCCCTATATATATATATATACTTGACTACACACGCCAAATTATCGCAAAAGCTACCAGCCAAGATGTTGGAAATATAATTGAATATAATGAATTCCAATTATTGAAGATCATATCAGAGAGCATGGGGATTATGGGAACAATCCGTTTGCAGGCGATAGCGGGCCACGCCCGGAAGCATGTATTTCTGCTGGGATCCAGAAAGTCTTCGCCGGAGGCGGCCGCGGTGCCGAAGGGGCACGTGGCGGTGTACGTAGGGGGGAGGACGGAGGAGAAGAAGCGGCGGTACGTGGTCCCGATATGGTACCTGAAGCATCCGCTGTTCCAACGGCTGCTCCGCCTCGCCGAGGAGGAGTACGGGTTTCACCACCCAATGGGAGGCCTCACCATCCCCTGCACCCAGTCTGCTTTTTCGACCGTCACTTCCGCCATCCTTTCCCAATGTCCGCCGCCGCCTGCCCGCCGGAGATCGGGATCATCTTAATAATACATATATATGAATTATGATCACCATCGGCATTAATATAATTAAGCTAGCTAGTTAAGTTAATTTGCATGCAAATATAATCACTAATTGCACTTTTCTTCTTCTTCTTCTTTTTAAGTGAAATCCTGTAGCCATGATCGACTCCCCGTACCCAAATAGTAGTCTTTCTTCCATCAAACTCTTCGGCTATTTAGTGCAAATATTTCTAAAATTTTTAATGATGAAAAAAGGCGTGCTTTAAAAATGATTAATTATAAAGTAAAGACAAAATTAAAATATAATATGAAAAGAAATATTTGCACTAAATAGACGTCATTTTTCTAAATAGTACTTAAATTGTTTTATTCCCTAAGTAGCACTTAATAATGTCTATAATGACCAGTGATGAAGAATATTCACTTGAATAATGACTAATGCATAATGACTAAAAGTGTTATATTCGGAAGAAAAACACATGTTGTGCTATTTAGGGAAAGTCATTATGTTTTTATGCTATTTGAGTAAATTTCTCATATGAAAATTATACTTTCTCCATCCATAAATCATATACTCTTTACGCAAAGCGGAGTAGAATTTTAAGTTTTTTCAATTTGTTTTATTTAAAGATTGGTAATTAATTAAAAGTAAAATTTACATATTTAAAAAGTACTTTAAAAATTTTACAAAACAAGATGTGAGAAGTAGTATATTGTATGAGAAATGCTAGTTTCACATACAAACTGATCACAAATTTTACAAATTTGTCGGTGTTACTCATTTTTTATTTTATCAAATAGTCAATGAAAACACATAAATAAACAAAAGTTCCAAAAATTTTTTGAAAAATAAAGTATGCAAATCATTTTGGGACGGAGGGATATATTTTTGGAGCACACGTTTTTTTGAAAAATTATAATTAGCGGTATTGGGTATTCAAATACGCGGAAAATAAAAGTTATTTAGGAGAAATACTCAACGATTAAATAAAAGCTAACATGCTAGTAAATCTCATTCATAACTATCTAAAAATGACTATTTGAATTTCTATTTAACTCATTTTTTCAACAAACTCACGTTAAACCATACAAACCAAATACTCTCTAATTAGATTTTCAAGTGAAATATGATGCGGGAGTGTAAAAATACTAAAACTATACTTTTATAGATAAATAAGACCTTACTTTGAGAACAATATGTTTTATTCATGATAATGTTTAAGATGAAATTTTAAAAATAGAGATAAATTTTGAAAAGCTAAAATTAAAGGCGTTGTTTGGGAGCATCGTTAAGGTTTAGAGTTAGAGATTAGAGTTAGAATTTGGTTGTTTGCATAGCTGTTTGATTTTTTATTGTTTCGCAGTTAAATATTTAAAAAAGCTAATGTGGTGTAAAATACTAAAATACCCAATTGGTCGTATACTCTTATATTTCAAAAGTTAGCTAATTTTAATATTCTTCTGGTGAATTTTTTTCATTTGTTATTATGGATTATGTTTTTTTTATAATAGGTTAACAAGTTTTAAAATTAGTTTATTAGAGGAATCGTTAAGAAAAAAAATAAATTATGAATAGTTTTAGATTAGTAGAGCGTAAGATTTGAACATTATTTTTTTAAAAAATTAAACTTATTGATAAGTCTGTATATGTGTGACGGTGTAAATTACCACCAAGAAAAACTATTCTAGATCAGGTCTAGGATGGTTTGTTGAGTTAGAAACTAAGTGGCACAAAAAACAAAAATTGACCGACAGGACTGTAAGTGGAAATACTTGTAGTCCAATTATTATTAAGTATGTAAAATAGTACGGTGTAGTATTACACAATATGCTCTAAAGAGATAAAGTTTGGATCCTTTCTATTGAGGGTTACATGACTATTTATAATAGAGCCTGGGGGACAAGACAAAGAATGTCCACGTCATCCCACGTTCCTGGACGGTGCGAGGTGACTTCTCTTGTCACGTAGCGCTTGTCCTACTCATTTGTCGACTTGTGTTGATGGTACCTCTTTTGGCGCGTAATGCTTGGACGAGAATATCTGAATATTTTCTGCGATCTTCCGTCGCTGCCGTCCAACCATGCTTGGATTATTCTTGCCGACACATGTACACCCAAACTGACCACCCAGTATGAGTCCCGAAAACTTACCCAATAGTTTCTTAAAGGAACGACTAATCACTCGAGGATCCTAATGCAGTGTCATGCTAGTTGACAGGGTGGCCAATAATCACCCGGGTGGTCTTGGTTGAAACCCACGCGGGTAGGGTATAGATCCACACAAACAACCTTGCTACATGGTATTTGGATTTTGCTCGGGTGGTCTTGGCTGAAACCCACCCGGGCAGGGAACAGATCCACTGAATCAATCCCGCTACCAGTACTTGTAACTCGCCCATGTGTTCTTGGCTGAAACACTCTCGAGCAGGGTACAGATCCACCCAAACTACCCTACTACATAGTACTTGGACCTTTCCCGGGTGGTTTTGGCTAGGCCCGACTCGGGTCATTGCCTGGAAGGATTACACCCATCAATTTGCATATTTGATTATCTTTTAACAGACATCTTAACTTAGATTTAAATATTAATTAGAGCCTAATTGTGTATTATTCATCATATTCTTAATTATGGACTGGTTTATGTTATCTGATTGATTTTAGAATCCATATTCAAGTGCGAGGATGAATTGCAAGAAACTTTAAAGAGTTGGGGCCAATATCTGGTTACGAAACTTTTATTCTAATAATCTAATTTGAAGAGTGATATGGTTTTTTTGGGAAAAATTTCAAGAATGGTACCCCAACTTTTACGAAAATTTTGATTCAGAAGAAGGAGAAGGAGAAGGAGAAAGAGGAGAAGAAGAAGAAGAATAAGAATAAGAAGAAGATTAATTTGTATTAATTCTATCATATAGACTATATTTTTTTGGAAAACAAACACAAAAATATATACTCACCAAACCCCACGAGTTTAGAAGAGTAGTACAATACTCAACTCCAAAGTTAAAATCAAAATATATTAGTATTATTATTATATTTATTGTTATTATTATTATTACTATTATTATTAATATTTTTATCATTATTATTATAACTATTATAATAATAATTTTAATTTTAACTTAAATCATACTCCCTCCGTCCATGTATGATCTTCCCATTACGCGTTACGAGGCTTGACCGACTTTATTTTCAATTCAATTTAATTGATTATAGGAGTAAAATTTTAAAATAAAATTTATATAGTAATAAACTACATGAAAAGTTCTACAAAACTAGAGGTGACAAAACTATATTATTTTATGAAATGACTAGTAAAATTGAGTAAACAAAGTAAGTAAAGTTTGACCCTGTGAATAGTATCTATGGTGGACGGAGGGAATAACGCAACCCCAATTTTATGATCTCCAATGCATGGTCCCTACTTTATCAAGTCCCACTTAAATTAGCATAGTGATAATAATGAAAAAGGAGAGGATGGCTTTTGAGCTTTGTGTATCGAAGCCATAGTTTTAGGCCGTTTTGGCAAATGGAAGAAGCATTGGCATTACATCACACACGTATGAAATTGAAACTGCGCAAAGGGACACGTGTCGATCACTGGTGGCTCGAGTCAAAGTAAAGACGAATTCGGACTCAAACCGCCGCCGCCTCTAAAAAGGGGGGCAAGGGCGTCACGGGAAGTCGGAGAAAGGGAAGAAGATGATGAAAAAGAAAGGGCGGGAGGGAGAAGTGGTGGTGGACGGGTCGGATATAATGAAGTTGGTTGGGAATGAGGAGGTGTTCACGAGCTTCGTGGATCACAAGTTTCAAGAACTCGACAAAGACCGAGACGGGAAGCTCTCTGTCAAGGAACTCCAACCCGCCGTCGCTGATATCGGCGCCGCCCTTGGCTTGCCGGCTCTCGGTTCTTCTCCCGGCTCCGATCACATCTACTCTGAGGTGAACTCTTGATTCTCTGGTTCAATTTCTTGACGAAATCTTGGATTCCGGTAAGGAATCTTGAAGAAAGCTCCGGTTTTTGGCCATCAAGAAACACCTCTCTTTCACCCAACCCCCTACTCTGTCGGGCCTTTTAGATTTTTTTTTAATTGGGTTCGTTTTGATTCATTCTAGTTGTTACTTTTGGTTTCACCTTTACGAAATCTCATAAATTATGATTAATTAATTGCTTAAACTGTGGGTATATTGTCGGTAGTGTTTGTTAAGTTTTGGACCCTTTCTTTCTAAAAGTGTATTTTGTGAGTTGTGACAAGGACATGCATCCCTAGTGCTTCGATTAGTCAGATTATCACTCAATAAAGGATTTTGTCACTGTTAATCAATGAAGTTTTGGTTGTTGGTGGCTCTACTTATTATTCTCTCCTGTGAATTAAGATGGGTAGTTATGTCAAACTGGTTGAAGGGGTGTCTATATATATCTCTGTTTCACTGCATGACATTAGCAATCTCAATTATTTGTTTCATTATTTTAAGCATCTCTCGGGTTACTGATATGAACACAGGTGCTTAATGAATTCACTCATGGAAAACAAGAGAAAGTAAGCAAGAAGGAGTTCAAAGAGGTTCTTGGGGATATTCTACTAGGCATGGCTACTGGTTTAGAGCGGGACCCTATTGTAATTCTTCGCATGGATGGCGAAGACCTTTTAGAGTTTGTAAACAATCCATCTTTTGAGTCTGAAATGGTTTCTATATTCTCCGAGATAGAGTCACGCGATGGGTCGCTGAAAGATTACATCATCCGTGCATTCGAGAAACTCACTGTTGATCAAGGCGTGCCTCCTGCCTCCGATACTTGGGTAATATCTTGTGTTCATTGACGGTTTTGCATGCCTTACAATTTTAGACGCTTTATTTTGTTCAGACTTCAGAAGTTAGTTTATCATTATTGTGGATGATGGATGTATGGTTCTTTGGCAGGTAATGAGTAATATTGTGAGACCAGCTGTGGAGTCTTGTAGTACTGGCCAGGATACGGTCACGCAAGATGGTTTTGTGGTTGAATGCAAGAATGCTGCATTGATCATGGCTCAACGTCTGAAAGAGCAGCCTGTAATTGTAGCTCACAGTGAGAACACTTTTGATGGAAGTGGCATTAAGAGGCTGTTGTCCAACAAATATGAACTTGACAAGGTCAGTGTTTAGTTTCTAGCTAGAAGCATGTATGGATAAGTCGGTTGCTTTATGAATTTGTTAGCTTGACTAACTTAGTGTCCATTTCGCAACAATTTGAGTGTTTCGAAAGTTAATCTACACCATTAAAAAATGATCTAAAACACTAAAAAGTTGTTCCTAAACAAGGCCTAAATTAATCTTGTTGACTTGTGCTATTGAAATCATGTCCTGCAGACTCTGGAGTCTGCTGTTAAAAATGTCCCTAAAGATCGCCATGGGAAGATGTCCAAGAATTACCTGCGTGTGACGCTTGATCTGCTGGCTGCTTCAGCTGGCCTCCCTCCCATTGGAGCAGTCGATGAGGTAGGTACATGGTTAACAACAATAGTCGATTTGCTTCCTGCATGAACACAAATTAACCGGGTTAAAATTGGAGCTCCATTATGTCTCATATGATGTCTTTTGTTTTTGAGTGAATTCGTAGATGGACAAGATTATTGATAGAACAGTCAAAATGTTGGACGGTGATGATGGGAAGATGGTCAAAGATGAAGAGGAGTTCAAGAAACTACTGAGGGAGACACTGGGAGGTTTGATGGTGCATTTACAAGGCAATGCCGTTTCGGTGTCAACCAACTCGGTCGTGCACGAACCGCTCACTTCTGCATCCACTCTCTTGGATCCTCCTTCCACATAATCTGCTGCTGCTGCTGCTGAGCTTGAAAGCTGAGATCACAAAGATGACTCAGTTACTACTCTACTTACTACATGCCTTAGGATTTATGTTGTATATGTTGACATGTTCTGCCGATAATATGGATAGTGGTTTACTTACTACTGATATTTGTTGATCTATGCATTAATCGGTATAAAAGAAATTCACTGAAAGCCCACCTTATAAGAGGGCCAAGACAGCCAAAAACCTGAGAAATCGAAGGTAAATAAAGTTACTGATACATTCTCAAGTATTCCATACATACCCTCACGTCCAGAAATTGAGAAATGGGAAATTTAGATAATAGAGGAGAGATCATAAAGGAAAACATGAGCATACCCTTGTGTTGCAAGCTTTCTTTAGGATTTCATCCCAATAAGGAGGCTATTCTGCTCTCTCAAATAATAGATGCTTTCCCATTTGCCCAATTTTGCCTTTCTCTAGAGGCTTATCATTAGATGAACTGTAATTTTCACATAAAAAGGTTAAAATGTCATCTCATGGTAACTATTTACTACATGGCATTATGTTACTCTTCCTCCTCTGCTGTTACATGAGAAACAAACTTCGCAACCTCCAAATAAAACCGTGAAAAAAAGGCTTAGAATGTCATACATATATTTTAACTTTGTTTATATGATAATTAAAGGCAATA